CAACCAGAAGGCTTTAAATAACAAGAAAACTTGGTTTGCAGGTTGACCAAATCTCTATACGGTCTAAAGCAGGAGTCCAGATGTTGGTATAAGAGATTTGATTTCTTTATTATTTGCCTTGGTTATAATAGACTGAACTCAGACCATTGTACATATTACAATAGGTTTGGTGATAATGATTTTGTTATCTTGTTATTGTATGTGAATGATATGTTGGTAGTAGGCCCCAATATAGATCGAATTCAAGAGTTAAAAGCACAATTGGTTAGGGAGTTTGACATGAAGGACTTGGGACCAACAAACAAGATTTTAGGGATGCAAATTCATAGAGACAAAAAAGATAGGAAGGTTTGACTTTCTCAGAAGAATTACTTACTGAAAATCTTGTGTATGCATCAACAGTGAGAAATTTTATGTATGTCATGATTTGTACAAGACCAAACTAGACATTGCACAAGCGGTGAGAATAGTTAGTAGATTCATGGGAAATTCTAGTGGAGAGCATTGGGGTGTTATAAAGAGGATTCTTAGATACATCAAAGGAACCTCAGGTGTTACATTATGTTATGGAGGATCATAACTAGTTGTCAGAGGCTATGTTGATTCATATTTTGCAAGTTATCTGGATAAAATGAGATTTACTACTGGTTACGTGTTTACAATTGCAGGATGGACAATAAGTTGGTTATCCACAAAAGCTAAGTACATGGTAGTCACCCATGCATGTAAAGAAACTATTTGGATTAGGAAGATAATGGAGGAACTCGGGCACAAACAACAACAAATTGTTGTGTATTGTGATAGTCAGAGTGTCTTGCACATTGCAAGAAATCTAGTATTTCATTCCAGGATAAAACACATAGGAATAAAATATCATTTTGTTCGAGAAGTAGTAGAAGAGGGTAGTGTGGATATGCAAAAGATTCACACGGATGAGAACCTAACAGATGTTATGGCAAAGCCAATTAGTGTTGACAAGTTTGTATGAAGTCGATCCTACTATGGCCTAGAGGAAAAATAAGCAACATGGATGATAAGAATAAAACAAACATGGTGTGTCGATTTGATTAATTTAATCAAAATTTTCAAGTGAAAGATTGTGAGAAGAGAAGTCTCACATCAGACAAATCTTACTTTGGTGCTTACTTTTTGTAAAACACACCAAAATCACTTTCTTTTCTTTCTCTTGCTGCTTTAGTATTTGAGAGATAAATTAAGAGAGAAAAATAGTTTCTCCTTTTAGGTTTTTTTAGAATTATTTTTCCTTTATTTTCAGGAGAGAGTGTTATTATTTCCTCCTTGGAGATAGAGAGAGAAATGTTGTAATTTCTTTCGTTAGTGAAATTACTCTTTTGCCTATTGTTGATATTTTTCTCATCTTTTTAATTTTAATTGTGTGTGTTTATGCTTTTGTCTGCTATCTAACAATTTGTATAAATCCTCTTGTAAATTTATAATACGAAAAATATCTCCTTGATGAAACCTATAATACAAATCTTGCCAAATGTCGGAAGCATGTTCGATCCAGAGAATGGATTCAAGAATGGTTTCATGTACCGATCGTTGGATCTAAGAAACAATCATTCTGTTGTAACGATCCTAAGGTTCATGAAGATGGCTGGTTGATGATGGTTCGGAGAGAGTGTCATCGATGAATTTCAGCTTATTCTTGAATTTGAGCACAAGTTTTATGATGTGGGCCTAGACATGATAATTCTTGTCATCCAACAAGGTGGAGACAAGAATGAGAGTAAGGTTTTCGTTGGAATGAAGAAAAAATGGATTTGAGGGATTAATGTAAAAGTTAGTATAGGATTCAGACGTCATAGGAATGAAAGAAGAAATAAAAAAGTAACATCTATCATCTTACTATTCATATAAGTGTGATGAAATTCATCTATTTTTATTAAAACTTCACACAATAAAAATGAGTATATGTATATAATCCCGTACAATAGAAATGAAAGAATATACCATAACTAAAAATAATATAAAAGAGAAAAAATAAAATTTGTTATAAAAAAACAATTATATTAATATCTTTCTCTACCTTACTAACACTCTCTTAACTTAATATATTCTCTGTCCCCATTGGAAAATAAAATTGGAGCTTATTTTTTATCAAAATTTATTTATTTATTTAGAAAATAATTCTTTTGTTATAAGTAATTATGTCATTCATAAATCTTAAAGTTCAAGATAAAAAAAAAACTTATATATATCTTAAAAAAAAACTTAGCACAAAATTTTGTTAAAATTATTATAATAATATTATATAATGGTTCGATTTTATTGTTAGAATTGTTATAATAACATTTACAGTGTTTTGATTTTAAGTTTATTATTAAAATTCTAATTTATTATAGTTTTATTTTAAAAAATATTTTAGTGGGTCTAGAAAAGAATATGTTAATTTTTAGTTTTAATTTCTAAATTATATGAATATATATTGAAACATAACTTTTCAGTGAGGATTACTCGCTAGAATTTGAGTGATATTTTATTCTTTACTACATGTTGAAGTAGTAAAACATCAATTTATTATGTGAAATAGAATATTAAAATATATAATTAATATACTTATTATTGGTTTATACATAATATTATATTTTAAAAAATAATTATTAAAATTTATTATTTAAAATAACATATTGAGAGGTTTTTAAATATTGCTTCTCCTTTTTATAAAATATCCATTCTGATTCAGACACTTCTCTATTATTAGACTTAAATATCAGAATATTTTTATAGATATTATTTTTTTCTTTTTATCATTTGGTAGAATCTGTCCTAATAGATTCTAAAGTAACAATAGTGTAAATTAATCTTATTAAACTTATTTATTATTAATTTTTTTAATAACAACAAATTGTAATACTTTGAGATTGTTTAATAACTTTTTCAATACATTTCACTTGTTCTGGAAGTTAAATTTTGTTGAAATAAATAAGTTATAACTAAAAAAAATATTAAATTTTAGTTAATGGTTTTAAATTTGGATAAGTCTAAAATTTAATGGTTTAAGTATAATGAAACTGTCAACAAAATATGATTGCATAAATTCATAATATTCAAAATAAGCATAAAAATTTAAACCAAATAGAAAATTAAGAATTACAAGTTTAATAAATTAGTGTTATGTAATAAAATAATAATAATAATAATTATTGATGAAATAATTTATACTATAATATATAGATTTCATTAAATATGTTCTAATTTATTTTTAGATTAAACTAAAAAAAATAGAAAATCATTTTTTAAATTTCATTTTCTGAATTTTATATTTTTTTTACATTTTTTTTAAATCGGTTTAAAACATATATTCTCTATTTCAAACTAGTTACATTTCAAAATTATGATTACAGATACATTTTAGCATATTACTAAACTTTCCCTAGAAAGTAATATATATATTGGTTTAAAACAATATAGTTTTGTTTGTTTTCTATTCAGAAAAACTATTTTTTCTTTATCTTTAAAAACTAAAAAAATGTTTCATAACATAATTTTTGAAAACTATTTTCAACACTAGTATATATTTCTAGTTTTTAATAATAAAAAATAACAACTTTAAGTAGGTCTATTTTACTTCTGCATACTTTCACATTTTTTCCTACTTTTAATGTCTAAAATGACTTTTTAAAATTATTTTGCAAGATAGTTTTTTAAAAAAGAAACACCACCAATCAGACCTCAAGAAAATGTTTTGTTTTAACTTGTTACACATCTTCAATACAATTTGTAAATGGAAGAAAACAAATTGGTGTGTTGGTTGGATATGCATCAGCTCCCACTGTCAATACTTAACATGACATCTACATTCATTTCTCACAACTAAGCATTTCACCAATAATACTGATAAAACTGCCATTTTAAGGGAGTCGAGGATAACACGCATCAACAAAAGATATTTTTTCTTTCCACAAGATAATGATGGCTTCACCCTAATGATCTAACAAGTGTTCCACATTTAAAAGAAGTTTCTGTAGAATTTATTCGACAGATTTAAAAATTTTCGTTTAACCTTGGCATGGTATCTGTGTCAATCAAGCATTGATATTATATTTATGCTGATTACTTTTTTGCACGTCTAGCTAGCGAGAGCACATTGGTGCCGCTGATTGAGGTTTATAGCAAAAGCTGAGTGGAAAATCTTTAAAGATTCCGGTTATGTTAGTTCTATTAGAATCACATCAATCTTTAAAAAATGTTATGTTTGTTTATTATATATGTTAGTTTTGTCGATTATTTAATGGTTGCTTCGTAAAAGGGTCAACTTCTATCTCTTCAGTGCAGGCCACAGTACATTATTTTAGTCTCTTCAGCCTATTTTCCCTTTACTTGGAAAACAACCATCAAAGTTCACGAAAAACGCGTTCATCTCTCTTTCTTTTGTGTTTAAGTTCATTTGGAAATAGTCTTCTCTGAGCAATAAAATTCATCAGTATATATTTTTGGTACAATGAAAATAACCAGGTGAGCCATGTCTCGATCTTACATGTTAGATTCAAGAGAAAGTAGATGTATTATATATAAGTTAGTAACATATTCATTTGAAAATGTAAGTTGGTGTATATTAGGTGTCTGTATATATAGTTTTGTCATGGTTCCCACTTCCCACGTTTACACTTGTCGTATGTGCTTTATAGTATAGCTCAATATCTGAGCTGTGTTAATGGCAGGCCGTTTTGGTGGTTACTCTTCCGTTGTCCACGGAAGCATTCAAGTCAAACCCATTTTGTCGGAGTCCAAAACCGCATCTTTAAGCATTGATAGAATCAAAGCTTATCACTCCCATCCATTACCCAACTTTTCTCTTTTCTTCCAAAGCTTGTTTTGGTTGCATTTGCATATCTGTACTAGACACGTTTCATTGTTCAGAGAAGAAGTATACAGTTTACTTTTCTTCATTGTCATGTTCAACTTTCAATGCACTCTTCAGAAGAAATAGTATCTGCGTGAGCATTTGAATGTAGTGCTTCACCATAATCATAACAATGGAGCTAAGACATGAGAAGCTAGTGAGGTGAATTCAATATCATGGTCCTTTTTTTGTTATTCTTCCTTTTCATTTATTTTTATTCCCTTGTTACAACTTTGATCAGATTTGATTAGTTGTTTTGAAAACTCACAGGTTCTCCAATGATGGAAAACAGACTCTTGAACCTCCTTGGGAAGCTCACAAACTCCATGAGAAGGCATTCACAATGTATCCAGAATGCAAAATGAGTAATGGTGACAAGAACAGAATGAGTATCAGAATTCCCTCGCTTGCAAAGTTTAAGGTTTTCCCAGAAAACCATAAGCCATGGAAGAAGAGAATTCTTGATCCTGGCAGTGATGTAATTTTGGAGTGGAACCGGGCTTTCCTGTTTTCTTGCATTCTGGCACTGTTTGTTGATCCACTGTTTTTCTACCTTCCTTCAGTAGAAAATGATGGGAAATCATCGTGTATGGCTACTGATTTGAATATAGGAATTGTTGTGACATGTTTCCGGACATTTGCTGATGTTTTCTATCTGCTCAACATGGTCATCAAGTTCAGAACTGCCTATGTATCACCGAGTTCAAGGGTGTTTGGAAGGGGTGAGCTTGTTATGGATCCTAGGCTGATTGCAAGGCGATATTTGAGATCAGAGTTCTTCCTTGATCTTGTTGCTACACTGCCTCTTCCCCAGGTATCACAAATGGTTCTGCTTTAGTACTCTCATTGTTGTATATGTTTAATGCTTAAGACTTACAAAAACACCAATATTGACGAACTTCATGAAAAGTAACTGTTTTGCTAATGGTCATGTTAAGAGTACAAGTTTTAATGAATAGTCGCACACTAAATAGAGATTAAGTGTGTGTTTGTTTCAACTTGAATTGAACCTCTTTCTTCGTTCTCCGTTTTTGAAGGTAGGAAAACTTACAAGTTCAATGTTTTAAAATTGAGTTACATGTGGTATCAAGATCGTTTATGTGATTGTTTTTGTTCTCTGGCTTTATATATTTGTCCCTGGAAGTTTGTCACGGTTTTGGAAAGTGATGTTAAATGGCATGTCTTTTCTTTATTGGCAGATTGTGATTTGGTTTATCATGCCAGCAATCAGAAGCTCCCATGCTGATCATACCAACAATGCACTTGTACTCATTGTTCTACTTCAATATGTCCCCAGATTATATTTGATTTTCCCATTGAGTTCTCAGATTATTAAAGCCACCGGTGTAGTTACAAAGACAGCTTGGGCTGGGGCTGCTTACAATCTTTTACTTTACATGTTAGCTAGTCATGTATGCTATGTTTTCTTCAATCACAGATTGTCTTTCATAATTCAAAGTAGTTGTTATCTCCAGGCATTTCAGATATTTGATTATTCATTACTCTCTTTTTGTAGGTGTTGGGGGCATCATGGTATTTGTTATCAATTGAAAGGCATGCCACTTGCTGGAAATCTGAATGCAGAAATGAAAGCCTCCCTGTAAAATGTGCTCTTAAGTACTTAGATTGTAGTACTTTAAACCATGATGATCGCATGAAGTGGGTAAACACTACTTCTGTGTTTGGTAACTGCAATCCTGAAAATAGCACCAATTTCAACTATGGAATTTTTGCAAGTGCAGTGGATAATAATGTTATCTCCTCTGTGTTTATAGAGAAGTACCTCTATTGTCTGTGGTGGGGCTTGCAAAACTTAAGGTTTGGTTCTACAACTGTTTTTAAGCATATGATCATATCTAGTATGGCTATAAGAGTATTTTAACAAAAGTTATGGCGTTGTAAGATGATGATATTGCACTTCACTTTATCTGATAGTTTGGTTTCCCATCGGAAGCAAAATCTTTGGTTCTTCAGCCTGAGTACTCAACTATCTTTACTTGACATGAATTCAGCTGAAAATCACATGTCTAGCTACACTGTTCACATTTGATTAATCTTTTCCTCTCCGTATTTTCAGTTCCTATGGCCAGGGTTTGACCACAAGCACATTCGTTGGGGAAACTGCATTTGCAATACTCATAGCTATTCTGGGTTTGGTTTTGTTTGCCCACTTAATTGGTAACATGCAGGTAATTAGGATTTTCAAATCCTCGAAACACTACTTTCAAAAATACTGTTATTTGCAACAATAAGTTCTGATGCTTCTCCGTTTCTTTACATTTCTCTTAGTTGAATACATTTTCATCTCAGGTAGTACACATTTTTTACGTTTTACTGAAAACCATTACACGTGTGAATTCTTTTGTCTTGAACAAAAATTCTGATAAGGTTGCAATGGTTTGTTACATTTGTCATTCTCATATCAGAAAGAGTTAAATATCATCATTTAGATTAAAGAAAATCCTCAATTTACATGTACAATAAAATAAGACCAAAGGTCAATACCAAATTGTTGACTATAACCTTAGCATCCTCAATTTGCATGAACACCTTAGAATGCTCAATTCAGTGCAGACCTATTTGCAATCTATTACTGTGAGGCTTGAAGAATGGAGGCTCAAGCGACGTGACACTGAAGAGTGGATGAGCCATCGCCAGCTCCCACAAAATCTGAGAGAGCGTGTCCGAAGATTTGTTCAGTACAAGTGGCTTGCAACTCGTGGGGTTGATGAAGAAACAATCCTACGCGCCCTGCCTATTGACCTACGTAGAGATATCCAACGCCACCTTTGCTTGGACCTTGTTCGACGTGTAAGTTTTCTCACAATATATATTCATCAACCATACTGTGCTCTTTTAATTCATCCATGCATCGTAAATCATACTATATATGACGATTTGTGATTAGATAACACTTTTTAGACTTCGACTCTGTGGTAGACTACTTTCTGTGATTGATATACATCGAGTAATCGCTTCTTTTCCACCGACTACAGGTTCCCTTTTTCTCACAAATGGATGATCAGCTACTTGATGCTATATGCGAGAGATTGGTATCATCCTTGAGTACTCAAGGCACGTACATAGTCAGAGAAGGAGACCCGGTTTCAGAGATGCTCTTTATCATCAGAGGGAGACTTGAAAGTTCAACCACAAATGGAGGCAGAACTGGTTTCTTCAACTCCATTACCTTGAGGCCTGGTGATTTCTGTGGAGAAGAGCTACTTGCTTGGGCATTGCTTCCAAAATCCACTCTCAACTTGCCTTCTTCTACAAGAACTGTTAAAGCCCTCGTAGAAGTGGAGGCCTTTGCACTAAGAGCAGAAGATCTTAAATTTGTGGCCAATCAGTTTAGACGTCTCCACAGCAAGAAGTTACAACACACTTTTCGTTTCTACTCTCACCATTGGAGGACATGGGCAGCATGTTTCATTCAGGCCGCTTGGCGCCGGTTCAAGAAGAGAATGTTTGCGAAGAGCCTTAGCTTGAGGGAATGCCAGTCCTTCAATCATGATGGACAAGTCAGGGATCAAATGGAACATGGGGAAGAAGAGCATAGTGCAATGACTTCAAACACTGCACAAGTAAAACAAAACCTTGGTGTCACTATCCTGGCTTCAAGGTTTGCTGCAAACACAAGGAGAGGAGTTCAGAGGATCAAGGATGTTGAGCTGCCCAAGTTCCAAAAGCCTGAAGAGCCAGACTTTTCAGTAGAGCCTGATGATGATTAGATCAGCACTGCAATGTCTAGAGTTCCATGACCATCTTCAAGAGTTAAAATTACTATTCCTCATACAAATAATTCGGGTCCATACCCACAACATGTGTGCATTATTTGTTTGTCGATGAAGAAGCTTTCAGGTTTCTCTTAGCCTGAACTTTTTTTGGGGTGGTACAGCTCTTAGCCTATACATTATCACTTGCTTTATGCGTGCGATCCTATCGCAGTTAACATAGTTGATGGTCATACGCATCAACTTCTATCAAGAAGTTACTTTTGTGTGTGTTGCAGCTCGATACATTTGCACAAAAAACGATTTTTATCTTGTATATTACAATTACCTGACAGAAACTTGTATATTACACTGCACCATTATTCTTGCTTATATATTTTTCTACTTGTTCCCGTCGTACCACATAGTTCTGATTCTTGCTTTTACGTTTGTATTGTAATTTAAATATACAATTTATTTTGACACACTTTGAAGACTACAGTGATGACTTAAAGCATTGTCATAAAGTTTTTTCATGTTATATTCAGATTAACTGGCTTTCCAAATTGAGATCGGCAAACTACTTGGGATGGCAAAAATTTATATTATTATTTCCCCGCTTCATATGGGGTGTTCAAGATTATGACCGACATATCCATCCAAGAAATGGGCCTAGTTTGTACTTACTTGCTAATGCCAAGTGGATAAGTTGTGGCGTCAACAGATTCAGTACTACCAGCATTTTGGGTCAGTGATGATAATCTCTCACATAGTAGAAATCAGTTTCAAGAACATGAATCTATTGGAGGGAGGGACCACACAAGAAAATGATCAAGCCACTTAAGCTTGTCTCCACTATTTGCCTGCCGACACCATTTTAATTACCCGACCATAGCCATGCAATTAAAACACAAGAAAATTGCCAAGTAGCAAGGAGAACAAAGGGAGGGGGAAGAGTTGGAAGAATAAAATTGATTGTTTAAATTAGAAAACAATGAATTTACAGAAAGCTGTCCTGTTTTGCACACACTATTTTCCATGAAGCACCTATGATTCGAGATAAATCAAGCTAGATGCAATCAACCCAGACATTTTATCAGAACTCCCAATCCCAAGAACACAAAACTGAAGATTTTATACACTTCCTATACCAGTAAACAAGAATTCAATACCTGTAATAGTACAATGTGAGCAGTGCCCTATAAGGACTACTTGCGAAGAATCGTGTGAATGCAAAATGGATATAGAGTTGGATAACTGAGAAACCTTGTTTTGGTACTTGCAAACAATTATGTGCTTGATAGTCCTGTACTGGGAATTTTTGAAGGAAAAAAAGGGATTTAACTATACTTCCTTGTTCATTTTGTTGCTGGACTGCAACTTGGCTGATAAACCAGTAGAAGGTGTTTTCCATTCATCATCTCTTTTATGCTGTTTTGAATGAAAACTAACTCATTTGCTCTCCAATCAAATCAAGCCCCACAAGGAGGAAGGTCACTCCTTGGAAAAGTAGAAAGTAGAAGTGAACTCCTTGTGCAGATAACAGACTCCTGACAGAAGCTGTGAGAAGGAGGAAGGCCAGAGTTAGCTCTTTCTTATATATCTTATTAGTTTTCTTAACAGTTGTTGGAGCTGCTTCTTTGTGCTCCATAAACTTTTGTGGCTCAATAAGGTCACTGTCGGAAGCTCCTCTATGAATCTTTTGTTGTTCTATTGACTTGGTTTCCCTTTCTTCAGCAGCCAGTAAATCAGACTCTGATGATCTGCCAGCTTTCTTTGTGACAACCCATTCATAAGAGCTGCCTAATTGGAAAAGACCAGATACCATTGCATTGAATTTGGTGACGGACATGGTGTTTTCGAAAAGTAGGTAGGGAACAATGAAAGGAAAAGATTTTGGAGCAGGAAGAATGTTAAGGAGTGACATAAATACAGGTACATAGCAGATCACCCACAAAGGAAGCTCTGCCTCTGGTACAAACATGGTTAGAGGAAGAATTATGCAAAATAAGGTGAAGGAGTAAAAAGGAAGGATCAGTTTCCTCAACAGAAAAAATAGCAGGATTAAGTTTGCTTTCTTCCATGCAGACACCTGCAGTTATAGAGAATTTTAAAGTTTTTTAGGTGGTGCATATAATAAGCTACAATCTAAGTTATCAGAATATGCTTTTCTTCATCAATACTCTCATTGTTACTTCAAGATGAGCATCAGATATACCTTAGATTTGACAATTGCTGGAAGACACAACCTAAAAAGTTGCATAGGACCTGAATGCCAGCGGTGTTGCTGCTTCCTGTAAGCTTCATATGACTCAGGAATTTCACAGGGTACCTGAAAATTGACAGATTTAACAAATTCTTGAGAGAACTCCAGGGATTTGAGGTGAACATATAAATAGTCATGATATGCATATACAAGAATACTAGTCTACAAAATATAAGAATACTACTCTCTACAAGTACATTATCCACTTGTAAAAGAAAGAGCTATGGATGGAAAATGTTGCCATCTATGATCACCTTTACATCATTTAGAAAGATAAATTTCCAACCATTGAGATGAGCTCGAACAGCAATGTCCATATCTTCTACAGTTGTCCTCTCTAGCCAGCCCCCGGACTCTTCCAGGGCCTTGATTCTCCAAACACCAGCAGTTCCATTGAAACCAAAAAAATTGAGAAATACCCCATTCACCTGCTGTTCTACCTCAAAATGGAAGCATAAGTTTATGTTTTGGAGACGAGTCAACAAATTCTCATCCTTGTTCACAAAAGACCATCTAGCTTGGACCAAACCTAGTTCGGGATTGTCCTGTAATAAAAATGATTTGCAAGATATTAAAATATGTTAAACACGCTTTCCAATAATTTTTCTGGATATGTTTGATGTTCTTCACTGAACCTTGAAATGTGGCACAGTTCGCTTAAGAAAATCAGGATTTGGTTGAAAGTCTGCATCGAAAATTGCAACAAACTCGTAGTCTTTCACATAGTCACAGCTCATTGCTGAGTTAAGATTTCCAGCTTTATATCCAGTCCTTACTAAGCGATGCCTATAGACTATATTGATTCCCTTTTGGCTCCATTTAGAGACCTCTGCCTTAATTAACCACTGTATGCTCTCATCATCAGAATCATCAAGTACTTGAATCAGTAAACGATCCCTTGGCCAATCAATGCCACATACTGCAGAGATGGATTGGTCATACACCTGCATAAAATCAGTGCATGCAAAGTAAGAAAATTATCCGTTTATCAAGTGAACCTATTCATTGTCATTGGTTAGAAGAGTTAAAAACTACTCAACCCAACACAACATCATGAGGAGACTACTCCCTTCTTAATTACTAAGCTGATGTGTATTATAGAAACCGAAAATAATGATTACAATGTCAAGTATCGACCTAGATGGAACTAGATTTCTGAATACCTGATTAAAATCTTACTTCCCTCCTATTTTCCTTATCTTTTTTGTAAGGTGAATTCATACTATTCATAAGCATTGCAAAAAAAAAAAAGGTAATCCGAACATTCTAATTACTAAGTTCTATTTTCTTCTGACGTGCAGAATCTAATATATTGAAATTTTCTGTAAGCTAATTACTAAATTGAGTTAGCACAAATGGAATGCTGTAATTCATACCTCCTTCTCATTGCACATTGGAATTTGAACCAGAACCATGGGATAATTGTTTGCAGATCCTTCAACGTCATCACTCTTGAACGGATCCCCATCAATCTTTGGCTTTACCTTCCTGTATTTGATCCAAAAGCACCCCAAGCAAAGGAGCATGCGATCCACAGACTGGATAAGAAACAAAACAACACAAAATTTGGAAAGTGCCTGTATAGCAGGAGCAATGTACTCGGCACGAAACGTCAACCAAGCAACATAAGCCAAGTGGAGGAATCCTTCCAAATCAGAAGTACGAGGAATGTGCAAAGTGGGGTTTCCAAAATGCCAACCTTGAAGGTAAGCAACAACCTCAAAGGCCAGAACTGCCAAGGAAGTCACTAGGAACACTCTAATGATTTTAAACAGCAACTTGCCTTTTTCCAACTTGTCACTCTCACTCTCCATAACCACACCTCGTCCATGAATCAACCTCTTCTTAATGGCCCCCAGCAACGCCCAAAGCACAGTCGCAAGCCAAGTGACACAGCCAACAGCACGGTGAGCCCTGAGAAGCAACACCCAGGTGACTTGCTTAGCATTCTTGCCACGGCTTTTCTCCACTGGCCTGAATGCAGCATCTGCACCATTGATCTCCACAACAGAGAAAGTGGGGTTCTCCATTTTCACCACCACTGGTGTTCCCTTCTGTGCGTCCTTGGTCCACCAATTGGAAAAGTCCAACCTCGGAGCCATTACCACTCTATGGTGATTTGGGCACAACTTCACACTTCTCACTCTGAACAGTACAATTATTTTACTCTGTGTGTTTACAGATATACACAGAGCAAGGACTCAACACACCAACTTCATCAAACTTTTCTAGCACACATCATGGTAAAGACTAAAGAGAAAATACTCAGATCTGGAAACTCATGTAAAACGCTGCTCTAGATTCGTGGTTGCTCTTAATGGATGGAACCCTCTTGAAGGCTCAGCATTTAGCAAAATGCAGCACATAAAAGCCAAGAACGTGAATTGAGTGAGGCTCTTTTGTACTTTCAAGGAAATCTAGAAGGCACCTAACATGGGAAAGTCACATTATGAGGGAAGGTATCAGCAGCTGTAAAACTGAGACGCTAACTTCCAAGTTGGGTTCCCTCACTAAATTCACTTACCCTTCCCATCCACTTTGACTCCAAAGAAAAAAACATATACAAATAATTGCAGTAATTTTTTTCCACAAACACCTTCTCAATCATGTTTGAGCAATTAAATAATTATAAAATGCAAAACTTTATTTTTATTATTTATTTAAACAGTTGTGTCAGTTTATCCACTGTTATCAGCGGTGTAAAGAATTACAGTATGTTCATGGAATTCTCTAAGCTTAAGCAAAATTAAACTTGACTAAGAAATACACATGAAGAGGGAAGCATAGTTGAAATGATTGACTGGAACAGAAGATAAGATAACAATCATAACATTTTGTCTCAAAGTAAAAGTAATAATTTAGAACATATTATAATTTTAACATCAAAGTTAAAAAAGTTACAAAACAAATCGGCTAGTTGGAAGATAAGATTGAAGATTCCAGGTGCAATGTGATTTATGAGCTTGGCTACCATTATAACAATCTTTATTTAAAATGTTTGAGTGATAAAAGAACAGCAATGATAAAAGGTAATAAGAACAATAATGCCAGTAACCAAAGGTGGGAATGAGCCCGCGTGTGAGAGGCTAAAAAGGGGACGGTGACTATTAAAAAAGACCATCGAGACCCAAAGCAAACTTTGCAAATGACATAAGCCAAGCCATCATCAATGTTTGGACCTTTTTACTTTTAATTATTGTTTGCAAAAGATGCCTCGATTTGGATTATTAGAGGCCGAGAGGGGTTAATGTTCATTCTGTAAAATTCAAAACTTTATTTAATGGAAGCTTCTTCAAGAATATTCCTTTAATCTCTTCTTTGCACATTACCTGGAGACAGACACCACCAATAAGGGTAAAAACTAAAAAAAAAAAAAAATGCAGAGACACCTAACATTAACTCTGGTCCTACAAGGGGAACCCCATGTTACCAAAAGTTGTAGGATGAACATTGTCCAAGTTCCCTGTGCAAAATTGCAGACATGCATTGTGTTATTTGTGGGAAACTGAAATGAAAATTAGACAGATAGATTTAGAAAATAGCAGGACAGTACAGAACAGCTTTTTCTGTTGGATCTGAAGTGTAAGTGGATATGTTGCAATTCAGTTGTCACCAGAAGAACATAATTAATTAATGCAAATCCAACCAGTGTAATAAAGTGCCACCAGTATCGGATAACAATTGAAAAGTATTTATTGCACTGGGCATTTACACACCAAATAATGAGGTTAGTAATGGCTAATTAGATATACTATATATGGATAGAATTAATCTGATGCAAAATGGAGTAACTAGATATATAATCAAAGATTACTACAAAGCCAGTTCAAGCTATATGTTCACGTTTATTTATGCAAAATGGCATCTTATCTTCTCTTACTTTCATATGACTGACATGAACACCGATGCTTTTAAATCTGCAAGTAGTTGTTGCATAAATAACCTCAGAATGGCAGTGTATATACTCCATGTGTGGTTGGTTTACTGCAAAAGTATAGAACATAGATGGATACTACAAGCTTGAAAGTTGGAAGGTTAGGGTAGGTAAATGGCCTTTCAAGATATTCAATTTTTGGAATAAATGGAAGATTGAAGTTTATTTTATAGCCAAAAGAGTTGAATGCCACTTGAACAAAAATTGCATACTTAAATATTGATAAATTTTCTATATGAAACTCCAAATTTAATGGTATTTATTAAAGGTATAGTAGGTACTCTTAATTAAATTTAGAGTTTCACCTTAAGAATATATTGTGTATATCCCTCCCTCATTTCTCATCCTCTGTCCCTTTCAAAATTTTGAAATAAATGGGTAATGTTAAAAAAATAATAATAATAATAATAAAACTCTACTTTCCTTTTCTTTCAACTCTTATAACTGAAATCTTTAAGGCCCGTTAAAAAATGTGATTCATTATTACAAATACTATTTTCAAAAATAAGTTTTTAGTTAAATTTGGACAATATTTAGGGATTCTTTATCTAAAAAACAGGCCATTTAAATTGTCTCATTGGTCACTATCATGGCGTTGACTCTTAATTATTAATCATTTATTGTTTCACTAATGAGCTTTTTCTGACCAATTTATAATGTATTGGAATATTTAATACTAAATGTTAAAAACAATTAATTTATTTATAAAATAATAATTAAATCATAGGGAATTTTGTTGAATAATAATCCACAGTAAAATCCAAAGTAATGACAATATTTTTCAAAACTAAATTGGTCTCATTTCCCATGACAAGGGAATTGAATGGTATATGTTTTTTTTTTTTTTTAATGAAAAAATCTTACGGCAATTTAAAGGGAGTTTTTATTAAGAATTATTTAAAAATAAAATTAAATATTTTATTATAAATTTTACACAGTTAAATCATTTAAAACTTACTTAAAATTATTTATATAAGTAAATTTCTTTTTATTTTAAGTAATTTTTTCAATTTTTAAGTAATATAAATATAAGATTTATAATAAAATATTTATTTTTATTATAGTGATAACAATTCTTTTGGAAGTGATCTTAACTTGAAATAATTAAAAGAGAAAAAAAAAAAAGTTGAATGATGAATATCAGTAGATCTGGCTTGGCCCCGACAACCTAAAATCTTGACAGACACCATCTTAGCTGGGTTTTAACAATTCATTGGAAATATGTATGAATGTGTGGATGAGTGCGTAGAAGTTGTTTTTGTTTCCTCATTCTAATATGTCATGTGTACCACACACATCCAATACCTAATTATCTCAACTTTTTGGAACTATCTCAAACTAAAATCGAACATTGATAAAACAATTAAAAATCAATAGAATCATTTTTTTTTAATGATAAAAATTAATCTGAATTAAAATTATAATATACATTAATTATTAAAATTAAAACATACAAATTAATTAAGACATAAGATGTGTATTGTTATTATTTAAATTGAATAAAAATATATATATAAAAAACAAATCAAAATTATAAATATTATAATTAATTATATTAAATATTTTTTATAATATACTTCTTTATTTAATAATTATTTTATCATAATATATTTAATAATTTCATAATACCAAATGTTTGACAATGCCAAAAGGTATGATTCTTATCTTAAGGTAGGAGAAAACTTTTTATGAGTTCTTGTCCTTCACAAAGGAAGATATGCAAAAGAAAATATTTGTCTTGATAGTGAGTTTTGGAATTGAAAAAGAGTGTAGAGGAAACCATCCAACCACACACGTGGTGTCCTATAATTAACATTAAGAAAATTGGAACCTGAAAAATGATTTCGAAATGAATAGGTTTATTTGAAATAAATTAGGAAAATAAAATTAGAAACACATCATGTAGCCAAAAGCCTTTGTTTTCATGAGAACCGCAGACATTGCACGAGGTGGAGGACACATCCATGCCACAACAAACCCTTCATTATATTTTCTAGTCATTATTTGGTACGTTGTCTTGTGCTAACTCTTCTCTTTGCACGTGTACATCAAAACATGTCACCTACTGATATATTGTAAAATCTGTTTGGAGGTGAAGATTAAGAATAACTTATCAAAATAAATAAATAAATAAAAGTTTAAAATAGATAATATAATAACATAATTCAAGACATAGTAACCAAAGTGTGGACAAGGGACTAATTAGATTTGTCCCAATTAATGCCATATGATCCATGTCTCACATTATTGTAAGCAATGTTAGCAGTGGTGCATGTTCATTCACACTTAAGATGTTTGAGAATGTAATGATCATTATGTTTTAATTTTAACTGTAATTAAACTTTTTACATTTAACTTGTGTTTAGATTAGGGTGAGAATTTATAGAAATGAATTTTAGTTGATTTAAGGTGAATTGTGAGGTTATTTAAATTGAGAGAAAATTCAAGATTTGAAAAGGTTTGAGTAGATTCATTATAATTGAGGGGATGTATGAGATTGAATATACAAAAATTTGAATAATAATTTTTTTTAACGTAATGACCAAAACATTTTATTATTATAATAAATAAATTAAGTAGAAATGGTAATCATGATATAATTGAATATTAAAATGTTAATTCATTTATATTTTACATAATATTTAAATATATTAATATTTTTTTATATATAAGTATAATTAAAATTATTTTATATATTAATTATAAAATATTTTTTGTTGTAGTTTAATTTATATATGTAAAAATTTTGATATTTTGAATGAATATTTAACAAATAAAATTATATTACCTTAATAAGAATTTATAAGTTGTGTACATTTTTTATTTTTTAATTTTACATTAAATACAATAATTAGATAACATTAAAATAAAATACGTTGTTCAACTTGCAATAATATTAAATAGAATAACATTTTAATTTGATTGAAACATGAATTCCAGTCATTTAAATAAAAGCTCCAAGCAAGCAGAATCTAATTGTTAACATTTTGGGTGCTGAAGAGTAAAACACCCGACGAATTTATGTAATTCTACGTTAAAATGCAAGTAATAACAAGGAGAAGCAACACTGGACTTAAAACGTTGAGTGAATTCTCATTTGTTGAGAGCGAAAATCAGAGAGGACCATTTCATCCGTTGAACGGTTATGTATCCGATGAGTGGATTTGAACCAAAGAGCAAATCCTTTTGAAAATGCTCAGCGGATAGCAGGAAAAAAAAAAATCGATTATGCAGTTCAACATAATCGATTATGTCATGATTCATAATTAATTATGGATCTCAATAGCAAATTAAGCATACTTCAACTTATCCAACCTAATATAACATAACATGTAATTTGACGTCTAAAATGAATAAAATCATAAGCAATTATAAAAAAAATTGTCATGGTTTTACTTACTGGAGTGGACATAATTTGGTGAAGGAAAAACTACATCTGTAAGATGTTATTACACTTTCCCTCAATCACACACAACACTACAAAGTTTAATTATAGTTACACATTCATTCTCTTGTCAATTATTATACATATAAATGACAAATATTTTACGAGTTGGTTGGGTAGAGATAGATAATTTTATTAAAGACATGTAAATATAGTGCAAAGAAATCTTTAAAATTAAGCATACAAGACAAACCAAAAAAACTGTTAAAGGAGGGGAATATAAGCACTCCGTATGCACCATTCACAGCGATTAATGCAAACTCGCCATCTAAAATATAATACAATTGCACGCAAAAAGAAGCATTCACGTCACATGGGTCACTTCTTGCATAAGTTATTTATACTATTTTACCCCACTTTCTCTTTAAATACATACATTTTTTTCATTGATTTTTATATATATATGATCGAATTTGATAACTCTTAGTTCGGGAGGGAAAATATAATTTATGTATTTGATGTGATCAGTACCGCAGAACATTTTCTTTTTCATTGTAAGTTTTTTCTCTTAAAAAAGATTTCTTATATAAGAAATTTTTTGTAATAACTATTTTAAAATATGTAAGTTAAGAAAAAGTTTTTTTTATTAAAATAAATTACTATATTGATTTTTTTTTTTAAGTTTAGATGTGACACTAAAAGATTACATTATAAAATATTTAATACACTAAAAAAAAATTCAAATAAATTACTCATTGCACGTTCTGAGTTTGGTGGCCTTTCATTCTCTATTCCTCGTCAGGCCAAACTTATTTAATTAGTTTGGTTGTCTTTTGGGATTAAAATAAATAAATCTTATCATAGTATTCTGAGAAATGCTAGCTGTATATTGATAACGATTGATATGTAAATAAAATTTACAAAAAAAATAAATTAATTAAAGATTAAAATTATAAATATCCTAAATGCATTTTTATTATTAAAAAATAATTTTTATATAAAACATATTGATTTTTTATTTATTTTAGACCTCTCAAGTACATCCAAGGAGCTAGATTAACCAGTTTAAGTTTCTACTTAATTTTTTTAAATTCCAACTAACTTTTCGACTATATATTGTTAAAATATCTCTTCATCAACAAAATACTGGACAAAATTGTTTTTGTGTCATTCATGTTTTTTGTGTAATAAAATTGTATGTAATTAATAAATTATCCGATCATGATGTATATTTATCATATGATTATATCAGACACTATTTCTTCATTTTAAATAAATTTTTATCGGTTATATTTATTTTCCAATGTGAGAAGATTCAGTTCGTCCTATTTTACAAATATTTTGAGTTCTTAATACGTAGATATTTGTAGATTTAACATTTTTTTATGCTTATTTTGTACTATTAAATTTATTTAATTCAACCATTTTTTATAATTAAAAGGAATATCAAGTCTTTTAATAAAGAGGGCGAATTGAATGTGGTATATAAATTTTAAAGAAATACTAAAATAGGCTTCATTTTTTTTCCTGAATTTTTGACTAAATCAAGATTTTTTATTTCAATTAAAAAAAGCAGTTCCTAAAAATATTTTTTTAATTTCCTGCATGACATGGTATCAAAGAACGAAAATGCCTATCCTGCTATTGGGCCTATAAAACCGATTGTCTTTTCATAATCATGTAAAAATTATTGCTGTTAAGCCCCCATCTTGTTTCCCTCTTTTTTAACAGGGAAAAGATTATTTGACAGCTTATTTTTACAAATATCATATTAACAACTTTAAAAAAAAATTTGTTTGATTAATGGAAAGACAAGGAAATAAGATAGATAAATAATAATATAAAAATTTAAAAATAGTTATTGAATGAATATTTTTTTCTTTTTTTATGTATATCATAACTATTTTTAATAGGTATGGGCAATCCTTGTTTGAAGTGCTTAACAATAAGCATTTATTTAAAAGCATGATTACAAACCAAAAACACTTGGCAAGTGTAAAAATCAAGCTTGAGTTACCATAAATACAAGGCCAGAACTACGCCTTACTGTTTGTAACGAGCTTTCTGTGTTGGGAACAGCGCACAGAATAAAAGTACCCAATTTCTGTGTTGACACACAGAATAAAATAAACAGCTTACAACATACATTTGGGTGAGCAACGTACAATTATTTTACTCAATTCCGAATATCATGTCAGTATTCCTACATCTTAGGCTCAGACTACGGGTGCCTGCAATTACTATAAAATTATAAGAAAAAATAACTAAACTATCAGTGCATATAATCATAGTAAATAGAAGTAAAAAATAATTATGTAACTGTTAGTTTTCACCGCAACTTATAGCAGCCACTTCTATTTACTATGAGCCTCCTCGTCGGGTACAAGCTTCACCGCCTTACTTCTTTTCTGCTGATATTTAGCCAATGAATACCACACACCCCCAGCTGTATTGATAACCAATCCACTCACATTCAAAGCATGGACTTGAACACCACCCAGTAAGAAGAAACCAAGGGTCTGCACAAGCGATAATCAACGGGTTCAATGCTTGCAGTTAAAACCAGATATAAATGAACATAAAGGGTATGCAAGCCAATTAAACCACAAAGATGGATAGATAATGTATATGTATGAATATGGCCAGGACAATAATTCCAAATTCAAGCCTTTGTTCTGTAACAAAGATGTTCTATAGCAAACACAGGATCAGTCCTAGCTTACCGTGGAAACAACCCCTTTGAGAACGCCAACAATAGTTGTAGTTAAGGCTGAATTAACAATTGTACACAAGAACATGGTGAAGTTGAGGACAATGCCCATCACCAATGAAAGAACAAGAATCATAAAAAACGAAAAAGAATAACTCTGCAAAGAAAAACAAAATATTAGCTTTGGCACAATTTATCACTAAATAAAATATGATCCAGCTTCGCCATATAATTAAATAATGCAAAATTTTAGCTTTTCCAAAATATGTTCCAAGCTAAAGGCTCCAGCTGTCAACCATCAGAACGAAGTTTTTATGATCCTTCAAGCAAAATTAATACAAGGAATACACTTTCGCAGCACTTTAATTTAGGATAATTGAAGAAAGTCAATAAAGTAACCAATTAATTTAATTTACAATTGTAAAACATTAGACATATAAAGGGAAATTATTCTAAAGGGGCAAAACAGACCCAGGTCATGCCAAAATCAAAAGTTGCTGCTTTGTCCAGTTTTCCACCATACATCAAATGATTTTAACCTCACAACCCCCCACCCACCCCCCGGTTATATTTCCTAGTGTTTTAGTTACGAGCCCAATGAACCAATACAAAGAAAAGTGGCTGTTTGGAATTAACTATAGTACTAACACAGGTTTTTACCAGTTCCTTATAAAATAATTGAATTTACTTTATTGTGTATATAAAAAGACAACAAATTTAAAATGCCCAAAATTCAATTCAATCTAGCATAGTCATGAATAAATCCAAATACAAAGAACCAGATTAAGATTCCAACCTTTGCCAATAATAAAGATAAAGAATTTGGGAATTCCCCAGTGGCTATGATGAGAAACATAAAAAATGGAAGAGATAAAAAGCTGTTATAGAACATGATTTCCAAGGATGAAAGTCCATCCTCAGCACCAGATTTTTCCACCAGCACAAGGTACATGGTCTGCATGTAGAGTAAGCAGCACTATAAGCAAACAATGAATCACTACGGTGTCTATTCTCCATTATAAGATTAAGATTAAAGAAATAAGTTATATCAGCATATCACCTGAAAAAAAACGGAAACAAAAGCCATGCTGTACCCAAAAAGGTCAAAGGAAAAATCTCCAAGGGCAGCAATGAGAACTCCAGCAGCAATCAATATCACTGAAAGAGACACCTGAAATTTGACAGAAAATTGTATGTATTAAGATTTATCAGCTCCAGAGAGCAAAAGAACAAAATACCAATCATTATAATTCACACCCAAGGCTAATCAAGTGTGGTATTAGAGTCCACCATGATCAGTATTTCTACAAGAAGATCAGAGATTTTTATGTTCTGCAATATCTAATGGTTAACATCATATAAATTCTGATACCAATGGTTCTTCTCCCTCTTTAAATGGCGCAATCTCTTCTCTATGAAACATCCTTCGTGCAACTTAGCTCAACCAATAACTTTCCTAGTCTCTAAGTCTCATCGATAAACTATTTTTATAAGGTGACAGAATGAATAAAACCTCAAAAAACAGCCAATACCTGTGCTGTAGGCTTCGCCTTTCCCGAGAAGTACCCAGCAATAAGTACAGCGAGCGGCGTAAGCCTCTTGATCGCAATATACATTGGGATATTGACTCCTTTCAAACTCGCCAAAGCAAAAGCAACATTGGCATTATAGAAAATTGAAAGCGGGAGCAGTCGCTTGGCCGTTGTCATATCCAGTCCTCTCGCCTTGGTGTATTCCAATTTTCTACCGACGTGTATAAGCAAAGAGGTAGCCAATTGCTGAAAAATACAAATACTGTCACCGAAATTCATAAACAAAAAAATCCAACAGCAATAAACAGAATAACCAAAGGGCGAGAATCTGTTCCTTTATCAGCAAAGCAAATACCTGCAAAGTGAGAAGAGTCATCGAATATGCATACTGCATAAGAACAGCCTTGTTGATAAAAACCATGGCCATGGAGGCAAATCCATAAGCGACAGCCGCGAACAAACTACGCGAAAACAAAATCACGGTCATCTTAGCTATTATCTAGCCTTCAATATTCATAATTTGGAAGACGTAGCGATTGAATGTTACTTAATCAACAAACACTGATTCAGTAAATGAGAATTGGGATTGAGCGAAACAAAAAAGAGAAGCATGTGGAAAACCTTGAATAGGAGCCGGTTTCTGCATCGGCACGGATCTCCATGAGTAAGTAACGTTGAAAACGAGATCCAATTAATCAAGGTGAACCTTTAAAAAATGTAATTGAATCTACACAAAAGAAGTCAAATAAATATAGAATTACGCGTGTAAATATAAAATTAAATGCGAAACAGGAATTTACTTGGAAAAGGCGAGTTCACATGTCTCCAGGGGAAGAGAAAGGTGAAAGGAGTGATGAGAGAAGGATAAGGAAAGAAGTAGTGATGTCGAAAATGAGTGGGTGAAGTAAGGAAGGTGGAGAGAAAATAGTAAAAGAAAAACGAAAGGGACAAGGGAGAGAAAAAAAAAAAAAAAAAAAAGAGTGAAACAGCTGGCGTAGAAGCATCGGCATTATTCATTCTCAAATGGAGGTTCGTTATTGGTTTTGGTGGTTCCCTAAAATCCGAGCAAGATGAAGACTCTCTCTTGCCCTAGTCTTGGCAGTTGGCATGGACCAAACTTTTCCATTTCATTACATTTGCCGCCTTTTCCAACCACTGTCCCTCACCCAACCCTATAATAATCCACGTGTATTCGCTTTATTTATTCATTTATCAATATCTAACATAAATCTTAAATAATAAAATATTTTATAAATTAAACTCCACTAATTTATTAACAGTTTTTAAATAATTACTGGTTTATTATCTTAATGTGTTCATCCCGTTGAATATGAACGCTTTTAGTCTACGAGGAGACGATTCATCGATGAATGTTTGTTTAAAAGTCAAACACATTAATATGTTAATTAGTAAATGTAAAATGCATTGTATAATCCTGTTTTATCTCCTTGAAAAAAATTGTTTTTCATCATTTAAGGGTGCAAAATATTATTTTATATTAAAATGTTTTTCATTTTATAATCAATCATTTTAACGTAGTGAATTTTTTTTTCACTCTTTAGTATGTTTACATTTTTTTTACTAATTACAACTCGTTATATATTGTTTGATTTTTTTCCCTTACTATTTTATATACTTTTTATTTCTCTACGTTATTTTTTTTACTTATTAAATATCATTATTGTAATACATGATAATTTATTTTTTACATAAAAAATCATTTATATAATATACATATACTAACTTAACTTAAACATAATACATTATTTTACATTGATAATACTATGATTATTAAAAAATGTGACAATTTAAATTTAATTATATTTTAAAATATAGTATTTTAGACTAACAATAAAAATAATCATACCAATTCGCATCTATACCATTTACATCATGATAATGAAGCACACCCATTTCATTATCAAATCTTCACATGATATAATTATATTTTTATTATTTTAAATTAATTTCATTTTCAATCCTAAATTTATTCTTATATTCTCTTTATTTATTGATAGGCATTGGATTCTTCTCCACTCTATTACATTATGAATAATAAAATACTACTAATGATTATTTTTGTATTAATAATTATTTTATTTATTTTATCGTTATTCATATTCAAAAGAGAAAAAACCTAATGTATATTATATAATTGTATAAATATGTAAAAATGTTATATTAATTTCAAATTGTAATATATTTTGCAATGAAGTATTATAAATGTTTACATATATTTTTATAATGTTTCATTATAGTTTATATTGATTAAAATAATATACAAATTGGAAATCTCTTTTTAATTCATTATAGGTTATATTAAAAAGAATATTGATTTAATTTCATAAGTATAAACTCTTAAATAATGTTATCCAATGAAAAAAATAATTTAAACAGAATAGAAGTTAATCTCATATAAAAAATCGTAACTCGTAAACCGTATTAAAAAAACATTATTTATAATTTTGACTCGAATTCACAAAATTCGTATTTGAAGAATTATAGGATGAAAAGTAAATAAGTATTGTTTATTAAGCAATTTTTATTATTTAAAATATCCTTGTACATGCTTATATGAAATAATTATTTACATTTATATCATAATTTCTTAATTAGAAAACTAACTAGTATTTATTATTTTGAAAAGTACGATAAAATCATTTTTATATAATAAATATATTTTTTTAATATTAAAACAAACTATAACTATCTTAATTAATAAATATTATTTTTATAGCTTAAAAACTGATTAAAAAAAGTATCATTCAATTCGACTCAAACAACAAACTATGACTAGAATTGGATTTTAAATATAAAATATGAATAAAAATTAAATTAATTAAAAATTCAAATTATCCAAAAAGAAAATAATTATTAAAATTTTAATAAAATCTTAGCGCAGTTATAAGAAAAAAACATGAATATATTTGACTGTTAAAGAAATATAATAAAACAAATTAGTATAAATTTGGAGTTGTGAGATTGAAAAAGATAAATTATTAATCATATATCTGTTGAATATATAAATCTAAACCAATTTTCTCTCTTGATTTATTAATTTTTTGTATTTTGATAAATTATATAGGTAGGTGCCATAAAGAAACGGTAAAAGTAAACGGGTTTATCCGGTTGGGTTGGGTGAGACGATCCGGGTTAAAAAACAGTGGAAGTGGATGGACATGGTTTCGAGTTTGGCAGAATGAGGTTGGAGAATTGATTGAGAGTGCGAAACCGAAATCCAAAACTAAACGCACCAATTGGGTTGGGACCATTCACCATCCACCGCCTTGTCCTCTTCTGTCTCCGAATCACGGTCAGAAAAATATCTAATCCGTTCACCTTTTTCAATCTTTCTTGCAAGCGCCCCAGATTTCAAGCCCCTATTTCATCATCTTTATTATTATTTTTATTATTATTATTTTCGTTACAATTATTCTTTTGATTTGTTTCAATTATTACGAAATACTCGCTATAACAAGATTTTTCTTTTCTCAGGAATAATTTATCTGCATCGTCGGTTAAGATATGCAACAGAGGCTGAAGTTGCAGCAACAACAAGCCCTTATGCAGCAAGCCTTGCTTCAGCAGCAGCAGATGTACCACCCTGGCATGCTCGCCGCTGCCATGTCTCAGGTTAATCTTTCTCTCCATTTGTTTTTTCCTTGTTTAGCGATTTTTTTTATTTTTTTTTGTGTTCAATTCTCATTTTCCAATTAACGTTTTCCACGCTGCTTTTCCCTATCAAATTTGTGCATCGGATGCCAAATGCATTTGCTTAGGTTGTTGCATTTATGCAGAAGAAAAAAATAGGGCTTGTTGATGAAAATAAAACATATAATTTGCGTAATTAGGGTATTCGCGTTGTTCCCCTGCTTTTAATTTGGTTCCGGTATTTTGGTATATTTATTCGAGGCCAGTTCTCACCCTTGTACAATTGATATCCGTAGCTTTACTGTTTTCTTACTCTCTCCACAGGAATGATTATTGATAACGAATACTTGGTTCATTTCCACTATTGTTGTCGATTAAATTATTGTGAAGTGTCAATTTGATATAATTTTGGCTTCTATTACCGACTACTGACTTGTGTATTGTATCTATTCGTGATTTGCAATTAATTTTGCTCCCAAATTTTAGCTATTCAATATTCCAATAGGAGGAACCTTATGATTGCTTGGTCGAAGTCTATTAGATTATGTCAAGAATTTACAACCTGTGGACCCATGAAACATACGATAATTGTCTCATTTAATCGAAGTATTTTTGCAGAATTGTTTTTGACAATTATTCATATGAACTAAAATTGTTTACTATTTGGTTTATTAGAAGCATATGAGAAATAGCTCAGTCCTTTACTGTCTCTATATATTGAATTTTTACCTTTTCTCTATTTTATTCTCTTTAAGGTTTTCCTCTATAGTTAATTGGATCTTTCATTTTTTTCTGGTTTGTTTATTCTTTGAAAATTCTGCAGATGGAACCTGTTCCAAGTGGAAATTTGCCTCCTGGTTTTGATACTTCTGCATGCCGTAGTGTGTGAGTGTTTAATTTCTTTCATTTTTTAGATGTTTTTTGTCCTTAGTTTCATGTATGTGCCCCTGTATGAAAGTTTTCCATTTTAAACGAATTTCTGACAACTGTAGATACAAATTTCTTTTGCATAATGGTGTTTTTATCTGATCTGAGTTTCTGAGAAATAAATTTGATGCCACTGAAGTTCAATGTTGTATTTAAGAATCACTGTACTAGAATTAGTGTAGCTCTCCTCTTTGACACCTTATTGATCTGAAGTGATGTTTTTTCAGTTATGTAGGAAATATTCATGTAAATGTCACTGATAAACTTCTCGCCGAAGTTTTTCAGAGTGCTGGTCCTCTTGCTGGCTGCAAGCTCATAAGAAAAGAAAAGGTTTGCTTCAATATTCAACTCTATGTTCTTTGTTGATGATCATTGACGCTGTTTCTACTATTATTATTTTACAATTAATGGCCTCTTTTAACAGGCCTTTTTTGTAAAACTAAAACAACCTTCCTGTTACTTTTCCTATTTTCCTTGATATTATGAATATGTTGCCTAGTACTGATAAAACAAGCTTTTAATTTTTTTAAAGAAATCTGGTTGGCATAAGAATTTAGATTATAGAAATACTCTACTCTGAACTTCTTTCATGGAACTCTTTTTGTAATCTTTATTCTACAAAGGTGATATGTTTTCAAGGAGTTATGAAATGATATGCATCATATTCCGAAAAAGTGCATATCAGTAGACAATTTGTTTGATGTTGGTGGCCTTTACAAACATAATTATCTTGGTGTCGTCTTAGTATCTGACATGTTGCTTATCATAATTGTTTACTAACTTTGCAATGTAAATGGCTTCTCTAACTTGGAATTGTGCATGTTGAAAGTTGAGAGCTTGAGAGAGAGTGTGTGCATCAGCTAAGATAGATTGCTTTAAATCCTGCTTGTGTGCTATATGCCATTTGACACTAGTCAGTTCTGCCTCAGGGTACACTGAAATTTCCCTGAACGTGGCTCTTATGTAGTGTCTGTCCCAGCTTATTTTAGGCTCCACTTTCCTTGAAAGGAGAAGCTAGGTCTAACAGAATTTCTTTAGAAAGGTGTTTTTTAATAGGTAACACTTTTTTGACTGAGAAAACTTAAAACGGAAAGCTTTTTAAGTCACTAGTTTTTTGGCTTCTACTTATTATCCGTCACTATTTCAAATGAACACCTTAGTCTAGCTCTCATACTATTATATGGTTACCGTATTCTTTTCCCAGTCCTGTGCCTACTATCTGTGCTCTCTACTGGAATCTTTATTTCTACGTAATTTCTTCATGCCCTTGTCTTACTGTGAAATTAATGTTGCAGTCCTCTTATGGTTTTGTGGACTACCACGATCGAGCTTCTGCAGCCCTTGCAATAATGACATTGCACGGACGACAACTGTAAGCATTTTGTTTAATACATGTTTATTTGGCTTCTTCGGCATATTTGCACAGGATTGTGAAATGTGATGGAATTCTCCATCTGTCTTTTCTGGAGATAGAGGAACCATTATCATTTTTCACTTCTATATTCTTTTATTCTGGTAGACTTATTACTTACTTTTACTCGCCACTGCATCACATATTTAATAGCTCTATGATGTTCTAATCAGACAATTTTGAGTTTTGGCAAGCTTCTCAGAGTTTGCCTTAATATCTAGCTACTTTTCATTAATTTTTTTTTCTTTTTAATTCTGTTTGCAGTTATGGTCAAGCACTTAAAGTGAATTGGGCCTATGCTAATAGCAGCAGGGAGGATACATCAGGTTAATTTTAAAAACTTTCATATAATTTTGGTTTCAATTATTTTGCTTCTTGGGGGCACTCTCTTTTTTATTTTCAATTGTATATTCCTTTAATTTTAGTTTAAAATCATCAGGGCACTTCAATATATTTGTCGGTGATTTGAGTCCAGAGGTTACTGATGCAACTTTATTTGCTTGCTTCTCAGTCTATCCTAGTTGTTCGTGAGTTCCTCGTTGCTTTTTGTTTTGTTTTTCTTTATTGCAAATTTTTTGGTCACTAGAGCAAGGTATATTCTTTTTTTTTTTTAATGTTGACTGTTGTAGTCCTCGTTAGTAGTGACAAAGTTGAAGATAGTTGATGTGGGGGGAACTTTTCAACAAGTTACTCAGCATTGAAAGATGTTTTGGTTTTTGGAATTTACTTTTCCATCTTTTCTTTTATTATTTGCAGTGATGCAAGGGTTATGTGGGATCACAAAACTGGTCGGTCAAAAGGATATGGTTTTGTTTCTTTCCGTGATCATCAGGTACCGAAGAGATGAACCAGTGAACCACCCTGAAAGGAGAGTTAAAAGCTCTCTCAGGAAGCCGCAGAAAAAACAATTATTTTCCTAAATAAACTGATCTTATTATACATTTATTGTTTTAAAAGGAACATTGAATAGTTTCCTTTTGAAATTGAACAAGATCTGAACATTCAATATTTCCAGAACTCAACTTCATTTCAAATGCCATACAAATTGTTTTTACTGTGAATTAGTTCAATGTGTGAATTAACTATTATATGAACATTTTAAAAAAATTGTAAAACGGGCCAGCTCGTCCCGTTTTTGTTCATCCACCTCTAGCCCACCAAAAACAGAATGAGATGGGCTGTACACTACGGGTTGACAGGCTAGTTCACCAATAATTTTTTCTTATATAAAATTTTATTTGTATTTTTTTAAAATATACCTTTAATTATATGAATAATTTTTAAGTTTTTATTTATTAATTAATATTTTTATTAGATAAATTGAAAATTTTATTATATTTATGTGTTAAAATAATTAATTATAATCAATAATTTAAATTTAGTGTAACTAGGTTAAAATTGTGCTGAATCGATGAAATGATGCCCCTTTATGTACTTGATATGCAGGATGCCCAAAGTGCCATAAATGATATGACAGGTTTGGTATTCAGTTGTATACGTTTGAGCTCTTTGTTCCCTGCTTTTGTCATGTTTCTTCTTCATACCAGCTTGTGGTGTTTCCTGCATCATACAGGTAAGTGGCTGGGAAATAGGCAAATACGATGCAACTGGGCAACTAAGGGTGCTGGTACTAGCTCCAATGAAGAGAAGAGCAATGACAACCAAAATGCTGTTGTTCTTACAAATGGATCTTCAGGTATCATGTACCTTTATAAACAGCTATGATCCCGAGCCTATATTTCTGAAACCATAAAAATATAGATGTGTTATTTCTTCTAGTGGCTGAAGTTTACATTTTCTTTCTTCTCCAGATTCTGGCTAATTTTTGGTTCATATGTGTTATTCATTGCGATGAATGATATACCAATTCAAAAATAATGGAGTGATGCCACACCTATTAGGGTAGCATGTATATTTTGGTGGTTTTCATTTGCTAGACACAAATGGAACTGGACTTCTAATTGTTTGATTTGTTAGACATCAGTTTTGATGCATACTTGGGTAACATAGTGAGATTGTCGTATTATGTACCTCTATCCTTACATATTTAGGGATGGGTGCTGAAAAATATAGCCTAGGTAGACACAAATAGCATATCTATTTTAGTTTATGGGATAAATGTTGTGCTTTTATGTGGTGAGTATCATATTTATTATTATAGAGTAACTAATTGAGTATAGTTACTAGAATTAATTATAATTTGGGATCTCATTAAGTATTGACTTTGTTTGCTTCTCTGTTTCTTATGCATTTGTGTAACTTAATTTGCTTATTGTTTCTATGTACTTCTGTAACTCCATTTGCTTCTGTTTCCTATCCTCTTCTGTAAACAGCCTGGGAATTTTAGAATTGTTGAGGGTAACAGATACTTATAATGCATTATTTCCCATGTGTTTTATAGATGGAGGTCAAGATAATAACAATGAGGATGCTCCCGAAAACAATCCTTCATACACCACAGTTTATGTTGGCAACCTTCCTCATGATGTAAGTTATCTGAATTGAAGATGACATATTATGGTTATTGTTTTACATTGTGAGAACAACAACTTTATTTAATTTCTTATTCACAAATAAGGAAAAAAATATTTAGGTATTTTCTAGGATTGGTCTGGCATTTTAGAATTGGCTTCGAACATAATTTTGGATGGATGACTGAGGGGTGCATATTTTACAATGATGTATAGTTGAATCACCCTAGTTTTTCTAGTTTTGGATAACCACTTTCAGCTTAAGAATAATGAAACAAAAGTGCCCGAAAAGTTGCATTGTATGTGTAAGATAGTCCTTTTGCCATCTTTCCAACTTCATGACTTACAATGGTTAAGGGACAGACATGCCTTACCTGCCAAGCTTTATAATTGACTTGAACTTAAGTATTGTATTCAAAATCGAGCATAATTCTGTTCTTGGTGTTGGCCCGTTTGATTTTCTTAAAACTGTTCAAAAGTGTTTAGGAATTTGGTATTGGCAATTGTGATCCAGATTTCTTAGGAAGCCCTGAGTATCAATTTACCTCCCCTTTTGTTTGGCATTGCAATCCTGTAACAAAAAAAAAAGTGTCCTTACATCTGACAAGCTGTTATCTGTCCTTGTTTATTTACAATTTCATCATTCTATTTTATTATCGAGTCTTAGAAAAGCATCCCAGTGATTTATGTGGAATTGCAGCTGTGGTGAAGGCATTTGCAGCGTGTGAATGGTTGCAGGGTTCCCTGCAGTCATGTTATCGTTGCTTCTTCGCTAAATGCAGACCATATTTCAAAATCATGGTTGAGAATACATCTTGACTTAATTTGTACGAAAACCTTTTTCCAGCATTTAATGCTCCTTCCTGGCATTTACCTAACGTTGAGTTGTGTATCAAGTCTGTGACAGTATGGCTCTATATTGATCAATCTGAATGTCAGTCTTGCAATTCTCAGAAATAATAAACTGTTCCATTTACTAGCTTCTTACATGTGGTTTGGGGTCACAGGTAACACAAGCTGAACTGCATTGCCAATTCCATGCACTGGGGGCTGGGGTCATTGAGGAGGTCCGAGTTCAGAGGGATAAGGGTTTTGGATTTGTTAGATACAACACTCATGAGGAAGCTGCATTGGCCATTCAGGTGGCTAATGGAAGAATAATTCGTGGGAAGAGTATGAAGGTGAGAATTCTTTCACTTATTTGGTAAACTAATTAATTGCCATATCTGGTTGGGTCTGGTGGTGGCCCTATAAAGTAATGCCCAGTGGGATGCGTTTTTATTTTCTTCCCAATAGCTGATCATGATACTCAGTACTCACATGTAGGGATACGTGCTTGCACCTCTTTTCGTATCCTTACCTTTGTCCCTTCACTGCGGGGCCGCTGATTAACATGGGAATAAGGCCATTTTTTTACAGCATTCTTCCATGCCTGTTATGGATTGACCCAATTTTATATTGTTGGAAAGTTCAAACGCTTTTGAAATATAAATGTTATTCCATGGATTTGATGCACCACCAACTATCACAATACAATTAAATGCACGCTCTTTCTACTATTGCTTAGTTTTAAAGGCTGGAGGGTATGCAGTCATGAGACCTAGATGAATAATAATTACTCGATTTCTGCAGTGTTCATGGGGTAGTAAACCAACTCCACCTGGAACAGCTTCAAATCCACTACCTCCTCCTGCTCAACCATATCAAATACTTCCGACTGCGGGGATGAACCAAGGTTATTCTCCTGCTGAGTTGTTGGCTTATCAGCGCCAACTGGCCTTGAGTCAGGCTGCTGTATCCGGTCTTTCAGGCCAAGCTCTTCTGCAAATGACTGGACAACATGGCCTAGCTCCTGCATCAATGGGCGTAAACTCTGGGGGATCTCAAGCCATGTATGATGGATATACCGCTAATTCGTCAAGACAGCAGCTTATGTACTATCGTTGAAACATTGGCTTGTGCAGATTCACAGTTGCTTTATTATCTTCTGGGGGACTTTGATGTGGCATCACATTTCTCTTTGCTTCCCCACAGCCTGTCCTTTTCATACTGAGCCTTTTTCATTGGAGATATTGTTGCTTGATATTTTACCTAGTTTTTACGTCGTGTTGTAATTTGTATTGTTTGATCTAACGAGGATTTGATGACTCAAAAAAAGGGATCTATGTTTTGCTAGAAAGAGCAGCGAATTTTATGTTTGGGTAGTTTTCACTTATGTATTATAAGTATCGACTCAAGTTCATGTTAATAATTTTGTCTTTTGTTTCCCTTTCGTGCTCTGCGTGAACGGTATGCCCTGTGATACATCAGTAATATTGTAATATTGGTTCTAATCCAAGAGTCAATTCGGCTTACATCAAATCAAGTTATATTCGATTTTTGTTCATTTTGATTGATAAAGAGTTAAAAATAAATTATAAATTAAGTGAGTTTAAATCGGATAATAATAGATTGTATTTATTTAAAATTTTAAAAATAATTATAATAATTAATAATTTCAATAAATATTATCTTTTCTCTCTCCTTTATTTTATGTTGATATTATAATTAAAGCTTATCATTAATTATTTATTGTAATATTGTGATTATTGTTGCATTTGAGTTGTTATTCTTTTGTCGTACTATTAAGTCATTGTGTTTCAATATAATATTTATTATAATTCAATCTTATCATGTTTACTGTGTCATCTCGCATACGAGTCACTAACAAGAGTTACTTAATAATAAAAATAAATATTTTATTATAAATTTTATATATTAATCACTTAAAATTAAAGAAAATTATTTAAAATTAAAAAAAATTATTTATATAGACAACTCTTATTAATTTTTAAATAATTCATTTGTAGAATATATTATAAAATATTTATTTTTATTTTTTGTTAAGAATTTTTTTTTAACTCGTAAAATAAGATGCTAGAGAATAAGGGGATAAAAAAATAAAAAATAAAAACATAATAGAAATATACCAAAAGTAAAATTATTTAGTTGAAAGAGAGTGAAAATCGAAGATTTATTTATTTATTATTTTTAATATTATTCTTTAATTATTCATTATTATTTTAATATGAAAAAAATTATTACTAATTATGTGTCTCTCTTAGAATTGGTTATGGATTAATTTAAATTTAAATTGTAAAGAAAAATTATATAAATAACATGATTAGTTAAACAATATAATTTATTATGTTGTGCGTTTGTTTTATTTTATTTTATTATTTTTTTAGGAATTTTTAAAAGGAATTTTTAATTATAGTTATTTAAAAATAAAATAAAATATTTTATTATGATTCCGATAGTTAAATGGTTTAAAATTTGGTTAGAGTTATTTATTCAAATAATTTTTTTTTAATTTTAAGCAATTTTTTTTATTTTTAAACGATTTAGATATAAAATTTATAATAAAATATTTATTTTTATTTTTAAGCAATTTTTGATAATAACTCCGTTTAAAAATGCTATTTTCAGATCTTTATTTTTACATAAACTATAAGTTTCTAATTCAAAACTGATGTTATTTTAGTGAATCCGTACAAAGGGCGTTGCTGTTAGTTTGCAACTTTATTTTACTAAAATTGACGTGGTTTACTTCCATTGTTTGATAGAAACTGTTCTTGCTATAAGTGAAATTCGTTTTATAATAAGATTAATAAAGTGTATTTTTTTAAGCATGAGTATTCAACAAAATGTCTCTTTTGATTGTTTGAACATAAATAAGATTTTTTTTTCCCTTCTGAGAAAGTAAGTTGACGAAACGGATTATTGCATATAATGTAATATATTGTGTTGATTTTTTTAATATTTTAATTTGTTGATATAACTTTACATTATCTCTTAAGAAATTATTAGGTGATCTTGATGCACTATATGGTCGAGATTAATCTTTAGTGATACATATCATTTTTTTTAATTTTAAAATAACAATTAATGATATAAACCGTGTTTCAGGACCGTCTAATAAATTTTTCCTTCATGTTACAGGAATGAAATTTAGAGCTTTAATTTATGTTTTGTTTGATAGTAAAGAGAAAAAGAGTGTGGATAAAAATAAGAAATAAAGATAAAATAATTAAATAAAAGGGAGGAATTTTAGATTGTTTAGTTTGAACGAAATATGAGAGAAAATAAAACAAATATTATTGTCTGAAAACCGAAATTTTGGTTGTTGTTTTTTCCGACCTCATAAAATGAAAATGAGTGAAAATTGTTTCTGTCTTTTTTACGTTGTATATAATTTTTACCCTAACCATCTGTATGTTAGTGGCAAATCGAGGAAAGTGATCGAAATCGAAAGAAAGAGATGTGACTCGATAAGATTCAGTCGACGTCTAATTAGAAATACGTAGCATACAGCATCGAGGAGCACAATCAAGAATCGAATGAATAATAATCAAATGACTGTTGTCGAATAAAAACTAAGTCATATAAGACCAGGGTTAAAAAGGAACTGTAAGCAATTCAAAGTTCTCGAAAAATACGAGATCGAGAGTAAAGAAAGCCAACGTGGACATCGAGACTTTGGCCAAATCGTGAAAGGAAGACGAATGCACGTATAAAGAGCAGTTTTGAAATCATGGGGAAAAAGTCGGAGATCGTGAGAACGTGGGAAACTACAGAAGATAAACTGCCATACGCACGTAGAACGTGGTAGCAGTCGCGTTAACTGCTCTCAGAAAGCTTGAAGGATGCCCTATAAATAGAGCAAAGGAGAAAGGAACGAGGAGCAAAAATTGGCAGAGCACAGAACCAGTAGTGAAAAGTCTACCGGAGAAACGACGAACACCATGAAGCTTCTGGCGGTCTGGATTTCCCTGCTCACGGAGTACATTTATCGCTTTCTGTATTTTCCTTGGTAATTTACTTTGATGCAACTTAAATTCAGCAGTTTTATGTTTCTGTATTTCGATTCCTTGTCCATTTCAATTCAATGAAAATTTGAGTTTCTGCATTTAGATTTCCTGTTATTTAACATTCTGCAAATCTCAATTTCCTGTCATTTACTTTTCTTGCAATCTCGATTTCTTGTCATTTATATTTGTGTTGTTTTCGATTCCTCGCTATTTACAATTAATGCGAGTTTGGGGTTCTCGCATTTTACATTTCCTCGCAATTTAATATTCTGCTTTTCTATTCGATAGTCTAAATGTTTTCGATACTTTAAATAGTAAATACCAAAAGCAGCGTTTTCGATATCCTGGAGTTTTCGATTCTCATACACATTTTCGATTGAAAATCAAATTGCTAGCCTAAGTAAAAAAGAGCTTACGTGGTAGAATTTTGATTAGGACCAAAACACCCTTAGAATCAAAATCGATCGAAATTCCACCAGAAACAAATTGGCGCGCCAGGTAGGGGAAGTGTTGAAAAAACACAAAAAAGGTTAGTTCGAGAGTGTATGAGATTAAGAAGTGGGAGAGTTATAAGAATGAGTCAGAATTCATCAAGTAGTCAGAATAACAATGAGGGTCTAAGTGGTGTGCTCTCACCAAATACAGGGGGGCAAGGGCACAATGGGAGTATGCCTGTAGTATCGACAACTGTAGATACGTCGATACCAACAAGTAATGAACAAAATCCAGGAACATTGGCAAACACCCATATAGGGTCTAGTATGACGATACCAAACAATATGCAAACTATGGGAAACCCCATAACCACTTATGCGAGGGCCATATACGAGTGTAAGACCACCTGGTTTTTCACCCAATAACATGAACGGAGCTGGCACTTCGTCGATACATAGAAATTCACGATATAGCTTAGGAATGCCTCCAAACGTAGGTACATTTCAAACCCTAGGCATGCCGCAAAACTTTGGAGTTGCTTCACATTTAGGGACGTCTCAAAATTCGGTGACATCACAAAACTCGGGGAGTGGGCAAAATTTAGGTATACAACGAGACATCTCCGAATTTAGATCCTAGAGGGAATCCCGATCATGGGAGGTATGCATTTGATAGGGACTATCATCGATCTAATTTTGAGAATATCGAAAATACCAATACTTGGAATTTCCGAGTAACTCCCTAGGAATACTTAGACAACAAATGGATGAGAGTAATTTTGAAATGGTGAATATGTTATCACAGCGAGTTGACTACGGTCCTAAACCCATTAGTTCAAAATACTACTGCTAGTTTTGAGATATTAGCGAGATCAAATGTCTCGAATTGGAGACGCATTAGGTCGTACCTCGACAAACGAGGATGGAGAATCATGCCAATCAGAATATTAATCCCCCTTATTTATTAAGAAGGAATAGGAACAATGATCAATATCAACAAATAGGGAATGAATATCAACATGTGAGGAATGATATTTATGGAAACATGAATGAGGGACTTCAAAATATGCGTAATCAGAATAATATGCAATATAATCACATGTTAGGACAAAGGATGAATCTCCAAGGGATGGATTTAAGACCACCTAATCGGACATATTTTGTATCTCCTTTTCCAAATGCGATTCTCGAAACGAGTTGCCTCGAGGATACAAAGTGCCTAAATTTACTAAGTTTGCTTGGAGAAGTTGGTGAATCAACTATCGAGCATGTAGCTCGATATCAAATCGAATGTGGAGATTTAGCGATGAGTGAAGAGCTAAAAATAAAATATTTTCCTAGTTCTTTGACTAAGAATGCTTTTACTTGGTTCACTTCATTGCCACCCAATTCGATATACAATTGGTTACAGTTAGAAAGAAATTTTCATGAGCAATTCTTTAGAGGAGAGACTCAAGTAAGTCTCATTGATTTGATGAACATAAAACGATATAATCATGAAAACATAGATGATTATCTGAATCGATTTAGACAAATGAAATCAAGATGTTTCACTCAAATTCCTGAATATGAATTAGTCAGGATGGCTTCCGCAGGTTTAGAATTCTCGATCAGGAAAAAATTAGTGAATTTGCCATTAAATGACATGGCTCAATTAGCTGAT